GTCTCCAATTGAGATGTGCCTGGCTGATAATTCCTCTAAATTGCCCACTGAAATTGAGGTTGCCAGTAATTTAAGTCCTCATGCATCTGATCCGATAGATGGGGTGCCTGTCTATACATCTTCGTCTTTGGCTGAGAGCCTTGAACACGTTCGGCATTTTGCGGGTCTACCTTCTGCCTCTGTTCCAAAACCGTATAGAGTCATTCATCCTACTGAGTCCTCTAGTGAAGACGAGAAGATTCTTGCTGAAGTGTATGGTTCACAAGCCCAGTTGTCTAGACCCCCTATAGTTGAAGCTACAGCTCATCCAGATTCAAACACCTTCAAGATTCGAGAGGTTACTAATCTTCTTGGAAATTCATCTGCCCCAGTGTCAGACACAAGCCACTTAGTTTCACCAAGCCCCTCTGAAGATTCTCCATCCAAGGAAATGAGAAAATCCAAATGCAAGAGTGTCCCTATAAGAGTTGTTGTTGAAACAGGTGATGACAATCTTGATATGGCTCAACCTGAGAAGAGAAGAAAGTCTGCTGAATCAGTAAAAACTGAAGTTGATCCTCCCATCCAACAAGTGTTCAAAACTCTGAGGTCATCCGTCAAGAACAAGGCTCCTGTTGTGGCTCCGACTACCTCTACCCGGAAGGGGAAACCAACTACTCCCTCAAGAGGACGAAGTATCACACCTGAGGTCCAAACTGCTACGGAGAATCCTGACACCACAGTCAATAAACCACAGTTTGTCTCCTCTACTGCACAAGAAAAATGGTCTACGATGATCCGGAGAGAACTTATAGTTCAGAGGTCGGTTGATGAACAACAGTTGAACTCTGTTTGCGATATCTTGCCCTTACTGAGTGATGTGGGCCTCTTGAAGACTGTCACCTCCATTTGTCATTTTTCAAAGCTGCTGACATACGAGTTCTATTGTAATCTTAATGAGGAAATTGACAATCTGACCGGGACGCAGTGCATGCAGATCTTCATCCGAGGTAAATGGTACGTTTTCGGCCCAGATGTGATTAATGAATATTATGGTTTGAAGAGTGTTGATGAAGAAGAGATCACGAACTGGGATTTGGTGGCAAAGACCCTTACAGGTGGACAAACCTCTGCATGGCCTACGGGTGACATTGATACTCTGTCTGGCTCGAAACTCACCTCCAAATATGTCATTCTGCACCGTATTGCTCTTCACAACTGGCTACCATCTGCTCATTTTCATACGGTTGGCAAGCAATTGGCAGCTCTCCTGTTTCGGATTGGAACTCAAATGTCGATTGATCTGGGGTCATGGATCTTTTATCATATCCTCACGTTGATTCATCCGCGAGAACAGAAGGTAAGGTTACCTTTTCCTAACCTTATATTTGGGGTTCTGACATCGCAGGGCCTTGTGCCAATGCCTAGTGAGGTTATCAGTCCGACTCTTCTGTATACTGTTGATCATCGTCTTCTGACTGGAAAACACATTCGAGATGTTACACCTGTGAATGCTCCTCTTTCCTCTGATGCTGACAATGTGGTTGATGATTCGCCACATGCGAAGGATGTTCAACTATCTCTTCGCTTTAAGGCTCGGGTTTCTGAACTTGAGACTGTTAATGGAATCATTACGAAGCAGCTTACTGCGGCCCGTACTGAATTAGCTACCGTTCTTCTCCGCTTGAGCTTGACTGAGTCTGCTGCTGCTGATGCTACTAAGTCCGACAGTGAGGGCCCCTCCAATGCTTGACTGTTCTTTGCCTATCTTTGGCAAAAAGGGGGAGTATGTATTCAGGGGGAGTGTGTTTTTGTGTAGGACTTCGTACCTTCTGGCCCTGTCTGGGCGTCTGTTTAGTTCAGCATGATTTGTGTGCTGTGTTTCTGTTATGAGTTGTAATTCAGATATTTGACTTTTATGCAACAGTTATCTTCGTCCTACCTAGCTTATGTTTTATCTTAGTCGAGTTGTTTTGCCAAATAATTGCCAAAGGGGGAGTTTGTTAGTGTTTTTATTTCTCCAAAAAACCCCAACATATAATTGGCAATATTATTATGGCAAACTAAGATAGGGTTAGCTTGGTGTCGGTTTGTTTTACAAAAGACTGATTAATCAGATACAGCACTAGGCGTACCAACACTAAAGGTCTGTTTTAGGAAGATGTTTCCTTTTTACTGAACGCGGTTTAAGAAGTCAGCTTTGGAAAGAATATCAGCAGATCTGTCTTGGAAAGGTATGGAACGAATCCTTAAGATTACATTCTTCACATATCGTCCTACCATCTACAATCAGAGATATTTTTGGAGAGTGTTCTTGCTATGGAAGTATAAGTACCCTCATTCGGTCATGAATTAGGGTTACGCTTTTAAGAAGAAAGAAACACTCCTATCTATACAAAAGATCATATCTTTGATTATCATGCTTCTTCTCAATACAATTTGTTCTTGGTGATTATGAAGAAGAACTTGAGAAGAGATATTGTTGCTTAAACGAAAGGACGCTAAGATAACATAGTTGTGGGAACAACGTTGGACTGCGTCACTGAAGTGGACTGCATCAAAGTTAGCTCTCCAAGTGAAGCGATTTCATTGGACTTATGTATGCACGGCTCTCCAACTTCAACAATCCACTAAACCTGTGTAGACTGGGTACGTACCTTGTGTGGGGCACTTGGGTGAGATTATTGTTTCTCTACCTTTGTACATTGGATTATAAATTAGTGGATTGGACGCCTCTGTGATCGTCCCCCAGATGTAGATACACATTGTATCGAACTGGGTAAACATCTTGTGTGGTGTTTTGCCGTCTACTTTAGTTTACTCTCTCTGCAAACGAATCACCGATCTATCAAACTGACAGACTTCACACTGTTGAACTTGTCAGTCTAATTCATCAGTTGTTTAATCCTATTAATATTCTTAAATTGAGGAAATGCAAAATTACAGTTCTAAACCACCACATCCTAGTGCAACCCCCAAACTAACTACTCAACGAAACTAGCAACAAGAAAGATCACACAAGGCAAACAACAAAGCATCCAGCAAGCTACACGTCAAACGAGGAGAGGGAAACGGGATACCCGGGGTGAACAACTCTGGGTAACGCTCCCTCATGGCCGACTCCAACTCCCACGTAGATTCCTCTACACCGTGATGTGACCACCAAACTTTTACCATCTTCACCGATTTCCTGCGGGTTTCCCGGGTTTTGAAATCCATAATCCGAAGCGGTCTTTCTTCGTAAGACATGTCATCATCTAGAGGGATCAGCTATTATATGTTCCGGGTCATGCACATACTTCTTAAGCTGGGACACGTGGAAAACATTATGCACTTGCTCCAATTCCATAGGTAACACTAGACGATAAGCCAAACTCCCTATCCATTCAAGAATCTCATAAGGTCCAATGAACCTAGGGCTTAGCTTTCCCTTCTTCCCGAATCGCATGACTCCTCGGGTGGGAGAGACCTTTAACAAAACCTTGTCCCCAATCGCAAACTCCACCTGTTTCCTTCCCAAATCGGCATATGATTTCTGTCGATCCTGTGCCACTTTCATCCTTCCTTGGATGAGTTTAACTTTCTCCACGTCATGCAAGTACTGCAGACCTAACAGCACTAGATTGACCATATTCTCCCAACACAATGGGCTGCGACACTTTTGTCCGTAAAGGGCTTCATACGGTGCCATTCGAATACTTGAGTGGTAATTGTTGTTATAAGAGAATTCTATTAAATCCAGGTGGTCTTCCCACGACCCTTGGAAATCCAGCATACATGCTCTCAACATGTCTTCAATTGTCTGAATGGTCCACTCGGATCCCGGTCGGAGACGATATCCCGTGGCACACCATGGTACTTCACCACTTGATTAACATAAGCTCGGGCTAACTGAGTCATTGTCCATGTTTCCTTCATTGCAATAAGTCGAGCAATCTTGGTTAACCGATCCACCACTACCCAAATCTTGTCCTTGCCGGTGCGGGTCACAGGTAAGCCTCCCACAAAATCCATGGAGATAGAGTCCCACTTTCCTTGCGGTACCTCCAATGGTTGTACTAAACCCTTAACTCTACAATGCTCTGCTTTGACCTTTTGACAGTTTAGGCATCGACCCACGAATTCCGTTATTTCCTTCTTCATATTGGGCCACCAAAAGAGGTTTTTTCACATCCTTATATAACTTGTCACCCCCGGGGTGTACCGAGTAAGGTGTGTTGTGGCCTTCTTCAAGAATCTGACGTTTCAACCGATCACACGATGCGGGTATACACAAACGGCCCTTGTATCTCAATCCTCCGTCAGGAGATAGCTCAAAAGGTCTTATTCTTCCTTTAACCACATCATCCCTTGTCCTCATCAAACTAATGTCTTTCAGTTGTTCTTCCTTAATTTCTTCAACCAGAGTAGGAAAAATTCGAAGGTTGAAAAGACGAGTCTCTAACTCTACTTCACCTTGCTCCACCACTTCCAAGTTCATCCTTTGAAGTTATTTACAAAGCTCGTCAGCCACAACCCAAATGGAACTGACAGCGTGCTTGGACTTCCTGCTTAGGCCGTCAGCTACCACATTTGCTTTCCCTTCATGATATTGAATGTACAGCTCATAATCTTTGATAAGTTCCAACCAACGTCTTTGGCGCATGTCAAGGTCCTTCTGCGCGAATATATACTTGAGACTTTTGTGGTCTGTAAAGATCTTGCAACGTACCCCATATAGGTAATGCCTCCAGATCTTCAAGGCGAAGACTATTGCCGCTAACTCCAGGTCGTGAGTCGGGTAATTCTCTTCGTGCACCTTGAGTTGTCTTGAAGCATAGGCAATCACTTTCCCATTCTGCATCAACACGCAACCCAGTCCCTTCTTGGATGCGTCACTGTATACTTCAAACCCCTCCATCCCGGATGGTAAAAATCAACACAGGTGCGGTAGTGAGCTATTCCTTTAATTCCTGAAAAGCTGACTCACAAGCTTGGTTCCATTGAAACGACACATCCTTCCTTAGCAACTTAGTTAAAGGCTAGGCCACTTTGGCAAAATCCAACACAAATCTTCGGTAATACCTAGCTAACCCCAAGAAACTCCTTACTTCTGCCACTGTTGTCGGCACAACCCACTCTTTCACCGCCCGAATCTTATCCGGATCGACCGAGATACCGTTGTTGTTGATTACATGTCCCAAGAACTCCACGCTATCCTTCCAAAATTCGCATTTCGAGAGCTTGGCGTACAATTGCTTTTCCCGTAAAGTCTGGAATACTATCCGGAGATGCCCTTCATGTTCTTCTCTATCCCGAGAGTAGACGAGTATGTCATCAATAAACACGATCACAAAGTTGTCAAGGTGAGGTTTGAATACCCGATTCATCAGATCCATGAACGCTGTTGGTGCATTAGTCAATCCAAACGGCATCACCGTGAACTCGTAGTGTCCATAGCGAGTTCTGAACGCAGTCTTATGTATGTCCTTATCCGTCACCTTCAACTGATGATAGCCTGACCTTAGATCAATCTTGGAGAATACCCCTGCACCTCTGAGTTGGTCGAACAAGTCGTCGATCCTTGGTAGTGGATATTTGTTCTTGATCGTTACTTGGTTTAACTCACGATAATCAATGCACAGTCTCATACTCCCATCCTTCTTCTTTACGAAAAGAACAGGCGCTCCCCACGGTGATGTACTAGGTCGAATATACCCCTTGTCCAACAAATCTTGTATCTAAACCTTCAATTCCTGCATTTCTTTGGGCGCTAAACGATAAGGAGCCTTTGATATAGGTGTCGTCCCAGGCACGAGATCTACCGAGAACTCAACTTCTCTAGGAGGAGGCATGCCTGGAATTTCCTCGGGAAATACGTCAAGGAACTCGCGCACCACCGGTATGGATTGGGCCACATCTCCCTTTGCCTTGAGATCTGGGAACACAGATAGGCTTCGTGACCCTTCTCAAGGTACTTCTTCATCCTTAACATCGACACCAACTTGACCCCGGACTCCATCGTTGTTCCCCGATAAGACACCATCTTCCCGCTTGGTCCTCTAAGTAACACTTTCTGCTCACCATAAAGAATCTGAGCTTTGAACTGCCCCAGCCAATCCATGCCCAAGACTACATCTACGCCGTCTAGGCCGAACTGGATCAAATTACTGGGGAACTCTTCTTCTCCGATGACTATCTTAACGTCTTTGAAGAGGCGGTCGCACGACTTGAATTTTCTGGAAGCCACCTTCACGTTTAGCTTCACTTCAACGCCATCGGTTAAGCCTAGCTTCTTCACGAGCCCTGGCGACACGAACGAGTTGGATGCACCGGAGTCGAACAGGATCACGGCCGGAAGCGACTATACCATAAAGGTTCTTGTTACCACGTCGCCATCCCCAGCCTGAGCTTCGCTTAAGACAAGAGTCATCTCTCATGACGGCTCTCTCAATGAGTCCTGAACTTCCAAACTTCCAATCGATCTTTGCTCACGAGGCGACGGTACCGTAGCATCACTGGGGCTTACTCGCGTAGACGTACCACTCCTGATCCACTACTCGACGACACTGGGAGTGTTACTGTAACACCCCTAAAATTTTAAACTTTCAAGCTTTATGAAATAAACGTAATATTATCATTAAATCCCAAAACAGAGCATACTAATCATAAGTGTTTGGGGTGTTATGCCACATCTGAGCTGGAGAACTCAGATGCTCAGGCTAAACTATCTAATTATCCTCAAACAACGTCATTACATCATTATGGCACGCAGGACGAATAGGAAACTAACTATCTAAGCCCCGGGTCCTCTAGCGCGCTCTGGAGCTAATCATCTGTGCCTGAAAGCCAAATATATCTGTTCAGCGAATAATGTTGGTAACCCACTCCAACGCGTTAAAATACAATATATATATATATATATATATATATATATATATATATATATATATATATATATATATATATATATATATATATGAAAACCATTTTGAAGCCGGAAGATATATTCCAAGGAGACTCTAGCTTTAGAACCGAGAATAACTCAACAAGTAGGGACAAATACATTCAACAGTTATAATCATGCATATAAAGATACTAGCATATATCCTAAGGTCACAATATTATTTCACATCATTCATATAATTATTCAATCGTTATCTAAACACATAAGCACACTTTGGTGGCGCCACAGGACCAATCGCATGCCCATACATGAGGGTCCGCGCATATAGCGCTAACAAGGCCTCGCAGCACCCTGCCTCGTATCGCAACACGAAGGGGTTGATCGCAACCAACCGATGAATCACAGCTCATCATAACGTTTGATCGCAACCAAACGGTGGACCGCAGCCCAAAACTGTATTTCTGATCGCAACCAGATTATGAACCGCAGCTCATGTAAAACGTTTGATCGCAACCAAACGGTGGACCGTAGCCCTATATAATATTTATATACCTAACCGATCGCAACCGGCGTGGTTAACAGTTGGTATGGTTCTCAACCCATCCAACTGCCCGTATAGCCAATTTGATCGCAACCAAATTGGGGTATCATGCACACATAACACATAACAAGCACATGCAACCCACATTAGCACATTGGGAGCGGGGAGAGAAAGCGTATAATAAACTTATGCATGGTCATCCACATACTAGGAATAATCCTAAGGGGTTCATACATCTTTACCTAGGCCAAAGGGGTACCGATTCAACTAGCATGCAATTCATAAGACTCTTTTATCCTACGAATGGTACTCGAAACATCAAACTAGACTCAGGCACGATGAACGGAGTCCGTTGGGAGACCACGAGGGTCAGGAAAACATCAAACGGGAAAAACCACCATCCCACATTGGGAATATCCAGCGGGTGGAGGACCACCCGCCGCCTGCCCACCGGCGGCGAATTACTGGGCAGCGGGTGCCCGGCGGGCAATCGCTTGCCCGCCAGCTGCCCGCTGCCGGCGACGCCCTTAGGGGCAGCGGGTAGGTGGCGGGTTCCCCTACCCCCCACTGACTCTTTTTCAATACTTGGGTCCCGGGATCTTTTGTGGAACCCGAAACCATGTTTAGACACTTTTAAACGCAAACGACGACACCATGTAGTCAAATAACGGATCAAAACCAAGAATCACATTGAACACATCCTTACATGACTTCTAAACATAATCAACACCCGAACATGCGAATTCCCACCCAAATATACCAAGAATATCACAATACGAAATGCACGATTCAACCTAGGGCTCTAATCATATTTAAATTACCAAAATCATACTTTATCTTTAAAATCAAGAACATCAAGATTTATCAAGAACAACACACAATTATCAAGATCCTCTTATAATCATCAAGATCAACACATAAGATCATCTCATAAACATCAAGATTATATCATAATCATCATAAAAGCTTTATCAAGACACAAGCATAGAATTGCATATCAAAGGAGCCAAAGAAGAAGATTATAGCAAGGAAAATAGGTTTTGTTGAGACATGGGTTACCTCTTAGCCTTAATTAATTCTCCCTTGGCTATTAAGGTTCTTCTCTAAGATTTCCATCCGATTGATCTCCCTAGGCTTGGTGGTGGTGAATCTCCCGGGAATATTTTCGCGTAATATAACTATGGGTGGTAAGGGTTCTAATTGCTTTCTAATCCCCTATTTATAGAATCGGAATCTTAATCCTAATCTGAATAGTAAAGGCCTACTTTCTTTATTCCTAATAGATATATAGGTCTAGGATTCCTAGTTAGAATCTGACTAGTAAAAGGTTTACTCTCTTTATTCCTAATAGGCTTAAGACTCTAGTTTAGGCAAGGGTCCACGATCCATGGTGGATCATATTAATTAATTAAAGGGAATCCTAACCAAATTAAACCCTTTTTAATTATTATTAATGGAATTAATTAAATAATTAATCCGGGATTGAAGGCCGTAACACGGGGTGTTACATTTACGAACTCCCGCCACCTTGGGTTTCTTAGTCACTTTGCTAACATCGTCAAGCGATACTGCACGTTGGCGAGGCGGCGTCATGACAAAGTTTCTACAACAACAACACTGCTGCGAAACATAACAACAAGCAAGCAAGCAAACTATAAACAACACACAGCTCACCGCACATCCTAAGAGTCCTAAGTCCTAAGCACTTAGATACTTGCGGTCATCTTAGGGTCTCAAACCACACTTAACCTCTTAAAAGTCTAAACTCTAGCATCCTAGGCTCAAACCTAGGCTCTGATACCAACTGTAACACCCCCGATTTTCATGTTATTTTAAACTTAATTATGCAAGATAACTAACCACAAAAACATAAAGCATAGCACAGCGGAAGTGTAATATATAAAGCCGGAAAATAGGGAGTGTTATGCCACGTTCACATCAAAGTGAACGCACAGGCAAAAACCGACAACAACAATCTAATATATTCAACAGAAGAGGCCATAGGCCCAAAACACAATCTAAACTTTCCAGGGAGTCTAACCTAGCAATGTCTAACGCGCTCGCCGACTACTCAGGACCTGAAAAGCACATAAAGAAATGGGACGACGCCCGGTCAGCGAATAATGCTGGTAACCCAACAATACGCGTCAATAGCTATATATATATATATATATATATATATATATATATATATATATATATATATATATATATACATATATATATATATATATATATATATATATATATATATATATATATATATATATATATAGTATTATACAAAATCATTTTCGAAACAGAATACAGTATATATCAGTTCAAAGCCAGAGATAGAAGTCAACCGCAAAGACTCTATATCACTCACAACAAGGACAAGGGGAAACACATCCCAAACACATTAAGACATGACAACCACAGCACAAGTACAACTCAAGGTGTATTATACCATCACCCAGTGGAATACCACCCGACATGCTCAACAGGTGAGAATAGAGAAACACACATCGGCAACATATGTCGTTGTTCCCCCACCAACAACCACCAACAATTTACACCAAGTCGTAGTACACGAGGGTACCGTTCACAACACACGGCAGAAGCCACCCAAAACACGTGAACCCGACACACAGGTCACAACTCCATAATCACGTCATGGCCACCACGAGGACCACTGCCGTACCTTGGTGACTAATGTCCCATTCCATTAATCATGCAATCCAGGTACAGCCAATACACACATCATCGTCATAGGAATCAATCAATGGATCACAACAAAGATATGAAACCATACTCAACAAGGGAAGGATCACAATTTGACAACAACGATGATCAACACAATTCATCATCCACGATAGGAAAGAACAAACCACACACGCAAGCATTTCAACACCGAACTAGCATGCTTATCAAACGGGTAAACAAAACATAGTTCCGAAGAACATACAAGACTCATCATGGTTCAACAAATCACAAGGTTAAACACTTAGCATGATTCAAGACACCAAAAACCTAAATGGATTCCTACCACATAGTTCTAGACATACGAAACATCAAGAAGACACTCAAAATCCCAACAAAAGAACATCGGGAAGTCAAAACATCAATTACCGAGTCAAAAGAATCACAGGGAACAAATCCCCAACAACAATCATATATATACCCCGCGGGTGGGGCCACGGGTGGACCCCCACCCGTGGTTC